GCCCGTGCGCCCCACACGCTATCAGCGCCCACCTCTGCACGCCCATGCCAGCACCAAGAGCCCCTGTCCGTCGTCCATGCGCACGTCCGCAAGCGCCCAGTGCCCCTGTCTGCCGCCCATGCGCGCACCTGCTCGTCCAGCCTATTTTGTTTATTTGGTGGAATTTTATTTGAATTTGATTTGATTTTATTTCTTTTTAAATTAAAAGTTTTAAATTTCATCGTTAGGCAAGTTTTGCACCTTTTAGGAATTTAGCAATTTTTATTTTCTTTTTATTTTTGTTATTTTCCTTAAAAGACCAAGGGCCTTAGCATATAAACAGGCTCGTACCCTCCATTGTTTAAGGCATCTTTTGAATGTCAAGTTGAATAAAACCTAGAGTGTTTTTCCCCTTTGTCGTGTGCAAAACCCCTTCCCAAATATCGAATCTCTTTGTGTGATTGAACTTAGGTTTTCGTATTTGACCCCCCTAGGAGCATGCTGGTTTGATTGGTCATCAAAGTCGTGAAGGGTTTCCAGCCTCGAGCATAGTGAGTATTCTATCTGCGTAAGGTAACCGAATGTAGAGGTAACCCTCTAACTCTTAGCCTTTTCAGGTTGAACCAACTATATGATTGGATTCAAGTGGCTTGTGGCTCGAGTAGCTCAATACGTTTGGATTGTCGCGTATCACAATCGAACTCGCGAAATCATCCCTCCTTCAAATGGGAGCACGGTCGAGGGGGAGGTAGTCGAATGAGAGCTCTGAGCTCCGCTAAGAGAGGTACTCGCTAATGATGACCCCTTAGCAGCACAAAGACTCATCGAGGGTCTGAAGGACCTTCAGAACAAGCTCAACATAAACCGGTCCAGATGCGGAATGACCAGCTCCAAGATAATGTCTCAAACCAGCATCGAGATGTCTAGTCGATCGAGCGCATCCCAAGCCAGGATTGGCCAGGAAGAGCTAAATCGAGTGAAGGAAGAAATATTCAATCGGATAAAAACCGAGCTTGGAGCAAGAGGTTGCAGACCCACCATTCAGTATGAGCCCTTAAAGATCGCTCAGAATCCGTTCACAGCCAGTATCCTGGCCGTAGAACTCCCGAAGGGGTTCAAAGGCCCCCGAATAAACAAATATGACGGATCAGCTGACCCCGTGTACTGTGAGGGCTGCCTACCACGTCTACTTCAGATGTTAGTTTATTGAATTTGGGTTAATGCAATTTTAAAAGAAACATCAATAACAACTTTATTGAATAAATATTTGTTTTACGTTTACAATCCACTAGTTTAGGGCATAAAACCCAACAAGTAGTGCATAAGACCCTATACTGCTATGTAGTTCTTCTTCCACATGTGTTTATGAAGATGTGATTTAGCCGCTTCCATTCTTTTACGTTTTAATGAAATGGTTCTTGTTTCTTTTTTATTTGCTTTTTCTTGACCTAATGTTTTAGGAAGTTGTGGTTATACAGTCTTTCACTCTTAGTCCGGGTTGTGAACCATCGGTAGGATGAGTAAGGCCCCAAGTCTTATCGCACTATGCAAATTCAAAATGATAGCAAGGAAATGGACATTCCATATCATTTAATCATAAATTGTTGCATACATAATAAACGGCTCACAATCCTTCTAGGGGTAGAATATATGGAGGTGCTCCGCATTTCACGGGTTGCTACGTAGGTCTTCCAACGTGTAGGTCCCGGGTCGAATGACTCTGGTCACTCAGTCTAATTGGGGCCAAGTGCTTCATCTGATCGGTCCTTCGTGTTCAGCATCACCTTTCTGAGCATTAGGACTCCAACTTCGTACCTACGCGGCTTAACCCATGAATTGTAGTACTTGACTATTCGGCTCTGATGCTGGGCAACGTGGAGGCGGGCGGCCTTCTTATGCTCGTCTAGAAGGTCCAGTGAATTAAGGATTCCTTATTTGTTCAGCTCTTTGTTGAAGGCTTCGATCCTCAGTGTGAATAATCTCATTTCCACGGGCACCACTGCCTCCATGCCGAAGGACAATGACTACGAAGTTTTGCCTGTGGTGGTCATTGGCGTAGTTTTGTAGGCTCAACAGACGATAGAGAGCTCTACGACCCAGAGGCCTTTGAGTCCCTCGAGCCTTGTGTGAGGTATCTCCTTACAATACTTTTGGAATTCAGCAACTAAAATCGAAGGTGATTAAGTCGTCACCCCACCAATTCGAGAGGGAGTGGGTAACTCTCCTTACAGTCTTCCTACACAACAAACTTCGATAATCATCTTACTCCTCATTAATGGATATTTATACCCATTCACTACCCAACCGTACACCCCTAGACCCACATTCTCTCTGTAGGCCGTTATACCCGCGCTACATGATTATTCACCTCTTCCCAGAACAATTTTCATCCTACCCCTCCTAGAATATGTTTTAGTTAGGATCTTCTTGATGA